TAGAGGTATATAAAATCATGAGTGATGTGGAGAAAGTGGATAAGGAAAAGTTATTTACTTATTCCCATAACTTCATTTGATGACCCCTAGTTCTTGTATTAATAGGCAGCAGGTTTAAAACAAATAAAAGGAAGTTCTTCTTCACACAGCGCACAGTCAACTTGTGGAACTCCTTACCTGAGGAGGTTGTGAAGGCTAGGACTATAACAGAGTTTAAAAGAGAACTGGATAAATTCATGGTGGTTAAGTCCATTAATGGCTATTAGCCAGGACGGGTAAGAAATGGTGTCCCTAGCCTCTGTCTGTCAGAGGGTGGAGATGGATGGCAGGAGAGAGATCACTTGATCATTGCCTGTTAGGTTCACTCCCTCTGGGGCACCTGGCATTGGCCACTGTCGGTAGACAGGATACTGGGCTAGATGGACCTTTGGTCTGACCTGGTACGGCCTTTCTTATGTTCTTAAGAAAACCATAAAAGTTAATCCAGACAAGGATGTTTGGTAAATGTAGAAAATTAAAATCTGTTTGTTATAACTGAAAGAGCATCTGCTCCTTTCTATTGAGGGTAATGTGCTTCTGATAAATCTGTTTACTTTTTTCAGCTAGTTACATTTTAGGAAAACAACAAGGAGTCTGGTGGCACCTTAAAGACTAACAGATTTATTTGGGCATAAGCATTTGTGGGTAAAAACCTCACTTCTGAGGCTTATGCCCAAATAAATCTGTTAGTCTTTAAGGTGCCACCAGACTTCTTGTTGTTTTTGTGGCTACAGACTAACACGGCTACCCCCTGATACTTGTTACATTTTAGGATTTCCCCAGGAGGCTCTGACAATCTGTCAGTTGTTTTGAGAGAGTTTACTGCCTTCATGCTGTCCTCAAGGGACTTGTGGCTAGATCCAATATGGTGCTGGGTGCCAACAATGCCCAATAAAACCTTTGGGAATTGAGGGCACTCAACATCTTACAATAGTGTTCAGCACTTTGTAAGATTGAGCCTTTTTTATTGTTCATGTTTCCTTGTTAAACTTAAATTATAACTGGTGGAGTCAGGTGGTAGTGACGGGGTTGAATGTGAAAGAGCGACTGACCATCGAGAATGGAATGGAAAAGATCAGTGATGGAGGATGGTGAAGGAAGTGTTTTACTGAGTCAGTAGAAGACTTCAGTGACTATAGCAAAAGCAGTGTTAGTGCTGAGTATTACCCATTCTGGACCTCAGGTAGCGCTGTTGCACAGTGGGGATATCAAACATTTGAAAGGTTTGTGCTCCGCCCCCCTCCCAAAAGTACCATCTGTTTGAAGCTGCTAAGAGAATTTGAATGCTAGTAGTCCCAGTGGATATAGTGTACAGAGTGCATGTGAGACTAAGGTACATGATTATTTAATTTATCACATGGCTTTCCACATGGATATTGCCAGCCCACTTACTGTATACAGTTCTGTAATATAGTTAGATCATTTCTACACTAGGGTTCAGAAGCATGTTATCACCTTTCCAGCAAGAACTGTGTTTAAGCACTCTTCCCTGCAGAGATTCAGAAAAGGCCTATAGATTCACAAGGCTTTTGAAAATGCTGCTCAGAGTGAAATGGGTGCAGATTTCTTTTTAAATATAGATCAACCAAAATTTTGGGGACTTTCTGGGTATCCTACAGAAAACACTTCTTTTATGAGGTTTTTGGAGAAGATTCTTGGAGATAGTGGCACTGTGGGAGGCAGAAAGAAGCTTTTTTTTTCTTTTTTCTTTTGTAGCTTAGTTACTGGCTGATTCAAATTACCTTGCTCATATCTGAATGCTTTTTTAACACTGCTGGGTTCATTATGTTATTGTAGGAATGAGTAAGTGTCAGGACACCTAGAACTCTTGCAAAGACCTTCCTTTTGTTGCTGTTGTAATTGAAATCCTAAAATTGTGCTTTCTGCCATGTTGCCCCTCATGCTTGGGTGGAGCTCCGCATAAACTTTCCTTCTCAGTGATGCATATTAAAAAAAGGACTGTTAAGCTGCTGGTGTGCTGAGACCACTGCCTATCTGCTGATAAATATTGTCTCACTGTTTTCTTGTACTGCCCAATCTGTCTGTAGATCCGGGACTGTCTTTTTGTTTTGTGTTTGTACAGCACCTAACACCATAGAATCCTCATCCATGACTGGGGCTCCTAGATTCTACAGTAATATAAATGGTAAATAATAAAACCATATAAACCCTCCTCTTTACATTTCTAGGTTTTGATTTTGGACTGCGTCAAAATGGTGAAAGAGTAAACCATGTCAATCTCCCCCCATGGGCTCGTAATGATCCCCGTCTCTTCATCCTGATTCATCGTCAGGCTTTAGAGTCTGATCATGTCTCCCAGACAATCTGTAACTGGATTGATTTAGTGTTTGGGTATAAGCAAAAGGGCAAGGCTTCGGTTCAAGCTATCAATGTCTTCCATCCTGCTGTAAGTATTTTTTTGTCAAGTAATCTGTTCATAGTATAAAATTATTTGATCTCTGAGATGGTTTGACCGATTGCTTGGAAAACATCGAGCTTTAGGCAAATTCCCTTGAAATAGAATCATAGAATCATAGAATATCAGGGTTGGAAGGGACCTCAGGAGATCATCTAGTCCAACCCCCTGCTCAAAGCAGGACCAATCCCCAAATAGCTAACTATCAAAGAACAGGGAAAAAGACTGAATATTTAAATGAAGAATTGGTAAAATCTCAGGGTTTGTGACATGAAGGTCAATTATGTCTATTTTAAATCATGTTTCCTGGGCTAAAGCTAGGCAGGGAATTGTCACACAATGTATGTCTACTTAAAAGCCTATTGGACAATTAGTCATTGTTTGCAATAATCTCTAGAAATGCAGTATTTTTGTTTCCTCTTCCATCAAAAAGAAACCTTTCACTTTGGCAGATTGTAACGAAGGCTGCAGCAGAGATAAGTGAAGTGTCTGATTAGAGAGAACAACATTTATACTATTCCTCCTCCACAATCATTTGTGTTCCTTACTGTACTCACCTGCTACATAATTAATGTTCCATTTAAGCTAAACTCCTGTAGTGGCCTTAACTTTGGATCACAGAACTGGTTAAGCCTCTGCATTACACTGCAAAAGCCTCTGGATTTACTCAGGACAGTGGTGAAAGGAGAACAAGATGACTAAGGCCGTGTCAATTTCAAAAGAATTCCTAAATTGTACATTTTCAGGTCTCAAAATGCATTCCTTGAAAGGCTTACATTTTAGCAGTGCAGCAGCCTGACTTTGTCCAGCCAGGCTCTCTCACTTATGGGTTTCACCACTGTAATTTAATTGCTCATGGTAAAATAGAGTATTTAAATGTCAATCATATAGTCCCCTTGATTCATGCTGGTTTTCCTTAACACTTTAGGGTGTAGTTCTGCAATTCTGTTGCATCCAGAAGTCAATTACAGAAGGGCTGAAGACTCTGGCTCTAAGCTTGTGCAGTTTTAGTTGGGAAACATTTTTCAAAGATAACTTTACTTAGCTTTTGTGTTTGCTGTTTTACATTTTAGACCTACTTTGGGATGGATGTTTCTGCTGTTGAGGATCCCGTTCAAAGAAGAGCCCTGGAAACAATGATAAAAACATATGGACAAACCCCTCGTCAATTGTTCCACACAGCGCATGTCAGCAGACCCGGATCCAGGCTCATAATAGAAGGAGAACTTCCCGCTGCCATGGGGTTATTAGTGCAGTTTGCTTTCAGAGAAACCAGGGAGCACGCTAAAGAAATAGTATATCCAGTATGTAATTTGATTCACAAGATTGCTCAATTAACATTCACAGGCTGTAATTACTGTACCCTGATGTACACATCTGAATAATTAAGCAAAACGGCTGCACTTGCACTGTATTAATGAAAAGCGTTTGCAGTATATCTTCTGCACATTTAAGACATTTCATGATTATGTGGATCAGAGCAGAACTGGCTCAGTGACTTGAGGTGCCCAAGCTTCTGGAGGAACCGTCTGGCAGTGAATTTCTGTCCTTGCTGATCCTACTCCCAGAGTGTATAACGGGTGGAGGTGGGGGGCGGAAGGTGCTGGACTGGAATAGTTTGTTCGTTCTCTCTCTCTCCACAATGGAAGTAGGAGATTTTTCTGCTCCACAGAGCACCAAATAGTCTGTCATGCCTGAGGCAAATCTGTTTCAGTATATGCCCAGGTGTCTTTCTGTAGGAAATGTGGTTAGTAAATATCTCTTACCGTAGACTGAGCTTCAAGACATTTTGCTTCAGACCTTTTGCAAAATTTAGGGCAGAATTAAAATAAGCTTTTTCATCGGATATTTGTCAGTAAGCAAACTGAAGTAAAGTAGTAGTTTTTAAGCAGTTCTTCTGTTATTGTAGGATAATTTTATTGTCTTTTTTGAGTCAGTATTTTTCAGTACAACCTCATTACCATTCTTCTCACCCTTGAAATTTAGGAAGAACTACTGGAAAAACAACCATTCTAATTTCCATGTGTAAATACGCATGTGAAAGTTGCAAATTAGTTTTGTTTCTGTATTGAACAAGGTTATCAAATGAATTACTTTCTGGTTTCTGCCAGTAACCATTTTAAAAAAAAATTCCAATCTGTATATTTTAGTATACAAGTGACTTTAAGTACCCATAAAATACCATTTTAAACTTAAAAATATCAGGGCTCAGAATGACTCTTTTGAAGCTATAAAAGCTCTGAAATGTGAGAGAGCCCAATAAATTCAGGACTGTTGAGATATGCTTATTGTGCAGGAGGCACTGAATATAATTCTTATATTAGATCAGTATAGTCCACCATGTCAGCTGTCTGGTCTTTTTCAATATAGAATGCTTCAGAGCATTCTAATCCCTAAATTGCACCTCACTGTTAATGCTGTACCATGGGGAAAATATATAATATTAGTGAAGTAATGCAAAATTACATTGTAATATATTTTAATTTTCGATATTTGATATATTAAAAAGTAGAATAAATTTTCACTAGTCTTTCTTGAAGCAAAGAGAATGCCAGTACTTGCGCTGCACTTAAATGTTTGTTTGGCTGGCTAGTTACATGCCTTGAATGGTGAATTCTTGGTCCAGTGTTGAAATATAGGGTGATGAACAATCTGTATCAACATTTTGTCTAGTTTAGCATTCTTTGTGGGGAAAAATGCCCCCTTCACTTCAGACACTTATTTTCTCTAAAACCTAATCAGGAATTTGGCTCATGTTTATAGAAATGGAAAACTGATGTTTCACCGTACTTTGTTTCTTGAACTCTGCAAGTTACCAGTTTTCTAGTCAAGCCTATAAAGAACTGACTGAATAAATAAGTTGGCACAATAAAAGATATTATCTCACCCTCCTTGTGTCTCTGAATAAACAGAACTCACTTGAAATTAATATCTTAGCATATGACATTAAATTGCCTTTTTCCATAATTTTATTTTTCTTTATAACAGAATAAAGTATAGACCCTGTCATATAAAGTACCACAAGACTAGGATAATTTATAGGAGTCTTATTTATAATGTACTGTTTCCTCATATAAAATAGCATTGCTCTGTTACACTGACTATTTTAATTGGCATTTTATTTGTCTTTGTTCTAGAGTCCTTTGCCTTGGATAAAAGGTTTAAAGTGGGGGGAATATGTAGGTTCCCCAAGTGCTCCAGATCCAGTTGTTTGCTTCAGCCAGCCACATGGAGAAAGGTTTGGCTCTCTGCAGGCTCTGCCAACTAGGGCCATCTGTGGTTTGTCCCAAAAGTTCTGCCTTTTGATGATATACAGCAAAGAGCAAGGTAAGGAAGCCTTACCAGAAATCAGTTTCATGTTTACCCTCTACATATGAAATACTGGAAAAACTTAACCAGTTGCCGAGTCATAATCATGCTATATTTTTATAGTGCCACTCTAATACTCTAGCAGAGTGCTCAAGTTTGCAGTCTTATTCTGCTAAGGATTGTAAATAGAATTATTAAGTAAATTTTTAATAAAGGTGCTGGATTTCAAGAATTCTTATCAATTAGTTTGGTATTTTCATTAAAATAACTCAACTTGGTGTTTTTAAAATATCAGAACTCTAGAAACCCACAATTCTTCTTCAAGTGATTATATATGTCCATTCCACTGTAGCTGAGTGCGCGGCCAGAGCATGGTTGTTGGAGATTCCTCCCTCCTCCCCCCCCCCCCCCCCCCCCACGCGGTACCTGTCAAGGGACATGAACACCCTCTGCTGCTATATGCCACTGTGTGCAGGTATAAAGGGCAGAGCTGCCCCCAAATTTCCTCAGTTCCTTCTTACCACCAATGACGGTGGTTGGAGCAATTATAGCTTTGCTACTGTAAGTTCTTCCCTCATTCCTCGTTAAAAAGTTGAGAACTCTGGTATTGGAGCCTCCCTATACAGCCTTCTATAAGGACAAGATTTACCTTCACCCTTGCCCAAAATTCCTGAAAAAGATAGTTTCCAACTTTCACATTAATCAGGCAATTTGTTCGCCACCGTTCTTCCCAAAACCTCATATTCACAGAGATGAAGAGAAGCTCCACCATTTTTAGACATCAGAAGAGCTGTAGTGTTTTTACCTGGGCTGGACTAAATTGTTTAGGTGTCATGATCACAATTGTTCATTGTGGTGGTGGACCTGGTTTCCTCTTGTGCCCAGAAAATCATAGAGGCTTAAGTTCCTATTCCTGACATTTGCAAATGACAACTTGGTTGTCCATGCACATTTGCTTCTTATTATACTATAACCATTCATTCCAGAAATGATGCCAGATTTGGGCTTGCTGTTCTACAATCACTGTTCAAATAGACTTTGGGATCACCTCCAGATGGATCTGCTTGTGAGTCCTCTACAGTGGAATGGATATGTGCAATCACTTGAAGAAACTGTTACCTGTCTTTCCATAATTGTTGATCTTCGAGATGTGTTGCACATGTTCATTCTACTACCCACCCTCCTTCCCCTCTCTATCAGAGCCTTTCCAGTAAGAAAAAAGTGAGGTGGGTTGATAGTGGTTCCGCCCTTTATACCTGCATGCAGTGGTGCATGGCAGCAGAGGGCATTCAAGCTGCCCCAGTTGGTACTGCTTAGGGGGAAAAATCTCCGACAAAAGTGCGCTGGGCACGCGCTCACATAGCGTGGAATCACAGGTGCCCCCACCCACCCTCTTCCCCAAGACCCCGCTCCACCTCTTCCTGCCCCTTCCTGACCAGTTCCACCCCCTCCTTCGAGCACGCCCGGTCCCCGCTCCTCCCTCCCTCCCTCTCAACGCCTCCTGCACGCTGTGAAACAGCTGATTGCAGTGGGCAGGAGGTCCTGGGAGGGAGGAGGAGGAGTTGATCAGCAGGGCTGCCGGTGGGAGGGAGGGGGAACTTGGCTGCCAGTGGGTGCTAAGCACCCACTGATTTTTTTTTTCCATGGGTGCTCCAGCCCTGGAACACCCACAGAGTCAGTACCTATGAGTGGAATGGACATGTGCAACACCTCTCGAAGAACAACAGTTAGGGAAAGGCAGGTAACTTTCTTTGCCAACATATCCAGAGAACCAGAGTATTGGTGAACAAGTAAATGAATAGAAGAGCAGTAGGAGGGAGAAGTGAAGGAATAATTGTTGGAGGATGGAATGGAGGGATGAGTAAGGGAAACAGAAGTAGAACTGCAAGGCAGAAGGCTTTGTTGTCAGGTTAACTCAATGGAATTAAAGCCTATTGATATATGTACAAATGGGTTTTAATAATTGCCTCTCTTGCATTAAAGCATTTTACTGGCCAGGATTTTCAAAAATAAGAGCCAAATTAGGCTCTGAAGTCCACAGGCACCTAAAATAAGTTGCCTCTCTTTCAGAAGTGTTGAGTTCTCAGCGATGCCCAGGGAAGAGAGTAGTGGTGGTCAAAAAATAGGACCTAATTTCCACAGAAATATTCACAAAAAATTGTCTTCCCCCCCCCCCCCCACCCTAGTTCAAAATATCAATGAAAACTTTTGTCAAAATGGCAGACTTTGAAAAATGTCAATGAGCTCTAATACTCAGCA